AAGAAATAATTCAACGAATAAAAATTTTCAGCCTAAAATTGTTCTGTTCAATTCAAAGCAGATTCTTAAAAAATGATAGAATTTGCAAAGAATTTTTAAAACAAAAAATAGAGTATTTGTAAAAAAAAACTTGTATTTTTTAATACAATAAAAAAAATTTTATTGTATTAAAAGCAGAATATTAATTTAAATTAGGTATCTGGCACACGTTGAGCGTAGAGTAATGCAATGCGGTACAGTAATAAACTCAAAATAGCATATTCTCTGCATTACACTCTGTATGTGGTAGTTTTTACTAATTTTAAACTTCGAAATAATGTGTATAAAAATGATATGACTTTTTTTGGCATACATAAACAGATAGATAGTATAAAACGGTACGAAAACTAGATAAAGAATTATAAATAAATTGAAACACAGGCATTCGAACTATGAACTGAAGTAAACGTAAAACAATCATGTCTGCCACTTATAATAAGTTATGTTCTATACTACTCTGAATGCTTAGCATTTATTATTTCTCGCATACGCAGAGTATTTGCCATTAAATCCATTAAACATTTAAACATCGATTCCATCGAACATTTCATTAAATATTAGCTCGATTGAATATACGGGGCGTTTCATTTATCTGCAAACGGTAGAATATCTCACGAGAGATTAAAATTATTGAAAAAATGTTTTAGCAAAAGCTATTTGATTCGATATGATTCATAAAATTGATCAAATGTCATATTATCCAGATCCAATCAGTTTTTGTGAAATTTTCGTATTTTCTTATATTCATAATATTTATATTACGATGTATTTTTAAATACTGTTTCACTTTTACGATATTGTTAATATTTGCGTATTAAATCGCATTATCAATCGTTTTAAATTGACATTCTAGTCATTTGATTATCAGAACAATGTATGTCAGGATAGTAAATACAATGTTATTAAATACGTATCGCAACAAATAATAGAAATACATTAAAAAATATTTTTAAAATATTTTATTATAAAATGTATCGGCAAGATAATGTTAATCTCAAGTTACCATATGTAGATATATGAAACGGGTCAATAATTTGCAATGCATGTATATTCCACAAATGAGACAAGCTGCAAAATAATTTAGGAACATGAAGCATAAATATATACTCGTATTGTACAAACTTGAGCATGGATGTTCCATATAACATTTTCAAAGTCGCGGAAGGATCAAGAAAAGACTGTTGAAAGCAAAGAACAGGAAATCATTAAGATAGTTAAGAAAACAACACATACTTTCAAGGAAATGTTAGCAAGGACAAGAGAAGAAGTTATTACTTCTGTTTCACTTTTCTATTTAGAAGTTGCTTCAGAGAGATACTTTTTACTTTTGCCTCGAATAAAATTTATCCAAGCCTCTAAAAAACTTGTATCTTGTGATTCGCAATAAACAATAATAATATTAATTTAATCACGCAAGGAATCCTAGACATGAACAGTTCTGTTGTCCTAATTACCGCTAACAAAATGTGCTACATCGTAATATTTACTGGTTTCGTTTGATATGAAAGATTTATGTAAAAAATAGTATTATATTTTTATCTTCAAAAGTGAAGTATAATTTTTTAGAGCAACCAGAAAAATCTACGCAAAGATTTGTTTCATCCATTAAATCTCTGGTGAGCATGAAGCATCGCGCCTTAAATATCATAAATACTTCTCTGTGAAACTAATAATTCTGACCTATACTCTTTTGCTCGCCCAGCAAAGAAATGCCATAACGAGTTGCTATACTTTGGGAATTTTATTTATTTTTGAGCGTGATACGCATTCTGTACATTTTTGCATCTTTCGATTCCCCATAAGTGAATAAATGTTCGTACACACGTATGGAACTATACATCAGGCACTCATTCAACGAATCGTTCATGACCAACAGCCGATCGTCCTATGTCTGAAACATCTAACCTACTTAATCCTCGCTCTCTCTCACCGTGACGTCACTCACTACCATCGTAACTTTGTCAAGACCCCCAGATTTACTTTAGATGTGCAATCGTAACTTGTGTCAAGAACTTTTATGCAAAGAGGTCATAATCATAGCTAATTTTATGAATTAATAGCATTTCCACTCACGACTGATCTCACTTTGATTACCCTTGAATAATAAGTATATGAGCTTGTATGCACGCGAAGCACCGTGAAGATCTGACATAGCCGACATAATAGGATTGAAAAATATTTGAGAAATTATTTCGAGAAATGTTTACGTATACAAATAATTGTATTCATAAAAATATTAAATTGTACAAATATTCACAGTTTAATAATAATATATATGTCGGAGATGAAAGGACACCGGAGCCTTCCCTCTGGAACTTCGGTAAAATTGTAATTAAAGTTTACAGTCGTAATTAAACAATCTGCCGTCATCCTGCCCAATTGTACTTGTTTGCGATTTGTGATAATAAACTTGGGCTCAAGGCGACCATCAGTCGCCGAACGTAGCCACGGTCAACGGGATGAAAGATATACTTGCTCTAACTCAAACTCACTGATCGTCAGGCGCTGCTCCCTTCGTCGGTGGGATCTCAAGAAAGAATGAATTTTCGTCCCAATGATGCCACAGAGGAAAACTCAGACACGAGATCATCGGACTCGTCGGGTATAGCCCTCGTTTCGAAAGTAAGGGAAATTGACGTCGCTGTCAATTGGTCAGTTTAGGACAAAGACGGTCTGTCCGTTTGGAAAATCTTAATTGCCGGAAAAACCCAGGTTTTATGACGGGTCCTTGGGCTAACTGGACTTGTGCTGTCTACGTGCCTCAACATCAGGTATTCATTGTCCGAAGGAACCGTTGGAATATTTTATGTCAGATACCTCTATTGGTATTTCTTTTAATGAGGGTCATACTATAACTCCACACTTTAGTTAGGCGAACGTTCGGCGACTGATAGTCGCCTTGAGCCCAAGTTTATTATCACAAATCGCAAACAAGTACAATTGGGCAGGACGACGGCAGATTGTTTAATTACGACTGTAAACTTTAATTACAATTTTACGGATTTTCCCGAAGTTCCAGAGGGAAGGCTCCGGTGTCCTTTCATCTCCGACATATAAATAATGTTCTATACTGAAAAATCAATATAAATGAAATCTTAATAATAATTGAGTTTACATATAATAATGGCATGAATCATATCGTATTATGTGGATTGATTTCCTTCTTCCATTCTAATGAATCGTTTATTTATCATCACCAAGACCCCCCGATTGATTTTCTCAAAAGCTCAGATTAGCCAAATTACTTAAATTCAAACGACTTGACGTCAATTGATTTGACAAATAAATAGAAATTTGGAAGAATATTTCAAGTTAAATAAATAACAGATTTACAGTGAGTGAAGTAATTTCAAGCTTCTTGAATCTACATAGGTAGCTTAACTAATGTAAATGAGGCTTCATGCATTCTAATCAATACGAAGTGTCATTGAAACTATACAAGATGTATAGCGTAACTATCAAGTTCAATGCAATAAGTTCAAAGAAAAAAAAAAACGTCGTTATCATCTGCTGCTATTATGAGTACGAATTGATATAGTGTCTCGATATAATATGTATGTACAGTACTATAATTAATCAATTTAATAGATTACATTGAAATCAAGGAAAACAATTTAGATAATTCGTAGAAAAATATCTGGATACTTTTTATTATTTTTGACTTATGACTTTTGATTATAGTCAAATGAAACTGCAATGATTTTATTCTTCATAGTTATCGTAGCTATTCCTACAGTATATCGTAACTCGATTAAATTAATTTCTGAAAGATAATATGCAATAATAAAACTAACGCTTGAAACTACAATACTTTTTTATATCTATATGTGTGAAGTCTTAACGCAATTTAGTTATTCCATATCTTTGTTTTGTTGTCATCATAAAATCTCCTTAACTTCGCCTGTAATATGAATTTAGGACAACGATGTATATCAATAAATAAATTGTTAAAATAAATGAACAAAAGGTGATCGATACATACGAAGTCGTGATGAAAGAATACAAAGACAGAACGTATTGCTTAATCGTTTTTGATGGCGTAAGAATACACTTGATTTGCAAAAACGAAAAGGCCTTATGAAATTCCTGACCATGGGATTTTCATCACGCATATCGAGCTCTTCGTATAGCAGCGCCGTATTTAATTAAAATGCGTGTCTTGAAAGTCATTCGTATTGTTCGAGTGAACGCACGTCAAAAAATCCTCCAATGCGAAACCTTTCGTGTAAGACGTGCGTTCCATTCCCACTAATCCTAAGGTTTCGTTGCAACTTGTCTGCTTCGATATTCTTTTAACATTCGGTTTGGCTTGTGCCTAAAATTCTTATTTTTATCTATACAAAATTTGTATTTTTCAAAAAGTATAATATGCTAATGTTGTGTAAATAAAAATAAGGACAGAACATAGGAAAGATGTTTTTGCGTTTTTAATTTGACTAGTAAAGGTTTACTTTATTTAAATTAATAATAGGGCAACTTTTGACGATGATTGATGGCTTTTTAATGAGCATTGATGACTTTTTAACTATATCGTTAATAAAGGCGACGAATGTACTATAATCTTCCAATTGCCCCAAAGATATTAGAAATTGTCATTCTACTTACATATTACATTAGGAAACGCTCCTCTATATGTTATCTTTATCGTTATCTTTATACGTGTATAATATATTTATATTTATTGTACAAATAGTAGAAGACAATATAACAAAATTATTGTTTTATAGCAGAAGGAATTTAATTTCATAGAAAAGTAAAGAACAGCGAGGTTATGCGCCCAACAACATTTTGGGCAACTTTTAAATGAATATATATATAACTAAACATGTACATCGTTTAACTCCCCAGTACAATCAGTAATTTCAAGAATAATGAAATACGTTCAAGCGGCAATAATAGACTGCCTACTTATCAGCTGATTACAACGATAATGATATAAACTAAAATGTAAGAAAACTCACGAATTTTGAAGTACGTAGGGTGTCACGTGGTACATAAAGAAACGTTGGGAAGTGCAAGGATTGAAGAAATGGTCGACAATTTGAAAAATGTCTAAGGAACTACGTATTCTCCGAGATAAATCAGTTTTGTAACATTTGAAGATTCAGCCGGACGTTCCGCACGTTTTCTAGATCACCAGGGACAAAACACGCACGCACACGTGTTCACTACACTCCACGATATTTACCGAAAGGATTCTTCTTCTCTTTTTCTTTCTTTCTCCCCCCCAATCGGTTGTTGGTATTCCACGCGCGTGCGTATTAACCCGCAACACAAACACGTGTGCCAACCTGGCCGCAGTGACGACTCGGCGTACACTGAGCAATACTCAGCGAATGCACAGAAATATCCCACTTACTATTTCGTCCCACACTCCCACTCTTGTCCCCACCATTTGCATATAGCTTTTTGTAACTTCATCTGGCTCCGTTAATTCTTCCTATAATGATTTACGAAGTTAATTATGAGTTATCTAATTAAACAATAAATATATTCGTCTTTGTTTAAAAGCAGTTAAAGCTTAAAACTGATCCTTATATTAGTATCTTACATCTTCTTTACAGGAACATTAAAGAAGGGGTGGTTTTATCATTAATAATAGAAATTATAGTTCTTAACATAAGTTAACCTGTGAAAAAGCATTAGAACTTTAGCAAAAAGAAAAATAACTATTAATTATTATCTCATTTGAAACATTCGACTGCAGATGACCCATATAGTAGAACCCCAAATTCTGTATTATACGAAATCCACAGTTTATCATTTAAGACCTTATTCAATTTATTTACGAATTGTTTGAATTAGATAATGAAGACCCTCCTAGACATGTGGAAAGATCACGATTGATTCAAATAGCGATATTTAAAACCGATAAAACAGCAAGAGGTACAGCAATAATAGATATAATTTCTACTAAGACAATACGTATTTATATTTTTTAAGCGCGTTGTTACATTCCTGGAAATAAGCTTTTTATTCTGGCATTTCTTTCTTGGCTCTAATTAGAGAAGAGATACGATGTGTTCTGATTGCGCGAATTATCCTGTGTACTTGTACGCATATAAAAAAGTTATAGTACAATAAATTGTTAATCAGCCTCTTATTATACATTGTTATATGAGGAAATAAAAGTAACGTTATCAAAGATAAAGGTGATTATTGCACCATAATGTATATACTCACCGACAAAGAAAAAATCGTATTCTAAGAAAAGAAATTATCTAGACAAATGGCAATTAAGTGTTCGTATTATTCATCAATGCATGATATATACAATGATTTGTAATAACAAAATCTGAATTTAATAAAATTGTACAAGTTAATTATAAAATAATAATTAGAAGTAGCGCACAGCAACGTATATTGCTGCATTCACGGTAATTTCCTCGCGTTCCTACCTTTTCTTGAGTTTTCAAGGAAATTGATACTTTCTGGATGATATTACTTTGTTATTTTTTCATTTTCTACGAAACGATAAAAGTATTAGGTATAAATTAATGGTGTTAAGGTTTTACTGAGATAGTCATTGAAAGTAAGCACGTGCTCGATAGTGATGGTCCAAGAGATTTTGTTAATCATTTATATTTCTGCATATTGATTTATTATACTTACAGATAAGATAACTATCGTAGAAAAAGCTGTTTGCTTCTAGGTTTATATAGGCGTTATTACACTGCTTTATTCTCGTCAGTTCGTTTTAAGATACGTATCAATACGTTATAGTTTCTAATCCTTGTGGAATTTTATATTGACATTTACATCGATTTCAACAACTCATAAACTTTATTAACTTTATTCGTCACCAGCCAGTAATGTATAAAATGTTACTAACGTCGTTACTGATATCGACGATTTTTACTATTTTAATTAATTGTAACGATGTCAATGCTGCTACTACTGCTGTATTAACGAAACCATCTAGTCGGGCTTACAATTGTTTCGTGAAAATTAATTACGGTTGCGACGTATTCAAATCTAATATCAATGTTGGCACGATTATTGGTTCGGCAGATTTCATAAAAGATGGGCCAAAGGATGGAGAACTCGCTAGTGCTGGAAACTCGTTGTATGATGTATTAGACGAACATCGATCTGGACGTTGGAGCCAATCTTATTTAAAAATAAAGGAGCATAACGCCACTCATTTCGTTACGGACATTGCTTGGATTTTTAGCAATAAAACAGTAGTAGTTGACAAGGTTCAAGTATTTTTATCCAATGGCAATTACACGGAGGATCAACCGATTCAGAGATCCTCATTGAATTTAGCGTGCTCGTATCAAACCAATGATCATCTGATTGTTGAAAATTACGTTCTGCGATTCAACTGCTACATTTCCAGTGAATTCATCGAAGATCTTTTCTACCTCTCTAAAGGTTCAGGAATTCTATTATCGACCTTGAAAATAGCTGGAACAAATTATGCTTTCTATCAAGTCGCTGACGTTTCCATTCACGAAACTGTTAACCAGATCGCTAATTACCATGGATTTGTTTCCCAGCCACCTAGCCGTGCGGCGTTGTGTCAATCGAGGGTAAACAAAAATTGCGGACGGATCATATACGAGCCGCAAAGCGTGGAAGCATTCAAAGGGTTCCCTTATAAGGAATACAGTCCACCAGATGGAAAAATTGCTAGTGGCAATAAAAAGGAATTTTCCGAATTGGATGAATATGGTGCAGATCGATGGACACGAGTCAATTTCCCTGACGTGAATTGTTACAATCAGACGCACGTGTCTTTCGACATTATTTGGTACCTCACTATGCCTCACCGTACCGACGATATTCAGATATACGTGAGTAATGAAAATTACACATCAATGGAACCGCTATCAAGACGTCATTTAGATCTTGATCCACTTTGCACGGTACAATATCATGGAGTATTCCCGCCTCGGCAATTGACCATATCATGTCCAATTTCGTTGGAGAAATATCGTCGATTAAATAAACTGAAAGAATTATTGCTGTTAAGTATATGGAATATATATGACACTGCGTTCGGATTTTATCAAGTTGTAGATATTAAAGAACTGTCAAAGGAACAGTCATACGAAAATATATTGCGTAAATGTCAATTAATAAATTAACATAAAACTTTTATTCATTTAAGCATTGTGTTGTTTTTTTTAATATTATGTATTTATGTAATTACAATAATGTTGACCGTATTTTACTACACCACATATTTTACATTAATATTTTATACTAGTTTACTCATTAAATATAACAAGTAAAATGGTAATAAATGGTAATAAAAAATATAATCTTGTTATAAGTACCAAGATTCATTCGATAATAGCGAACAATTGAGTAGCATGACCTTAACTTTCCAGACGTCTTATCGATAAAACATTCTATCATGAACTATTTCTATTTGCCGGGAAACATAGATAATTAATTTAATATCTTAAAAAATGCGATACTGATTGTATCACAAATCAAACATGACATTTCTATTGTACTTTATCAAATGTCAATATAAATAGAATCGATAATATATAACATTAATATAATTATCAAGAAGAAATATGTAATTTTCATTAAATTACAATGTTTGTATTAGAAATGTTAAATATATATCATAAAAGATATATTTTCATGAAAATGTTCTCATTTAGATATTTATTTTCTTCCGGCGAGGGTACTTTGTAAATATGATTAACAAATACGCGAACAAATCTGGCGCGAAGTCATCAGGTGGCACCACGTATCTCACAAGGGATACTACGGACATGGCCCTCGCCGATTTGAATGAAAAGTGTGGTTAGTTTAGTATATACGTGAAATAAACATAATTGTAATTTCTGTTGTACATATTATTTATTATTGATAAGTATTTATAATCATTCGTTAATCTGCATATTTAATTTTCCTGCCATGAATTAACATTAGTTATAAACGATCTCCTCAATTTTATATTAGATAAGCTAACAGCACTTTGTCATTTAAAATCGAAAGCATACTTATCGAACAACGAAGATGAAATATTAGAGTTATCGCTGCACTTGAAGAACCCGGATTTTTTCAACTTCAAAGTTAATCCATTTATTGCTCAGTCGAAGTCTCTTATCCAATTAATTCAATTAAAATATTGAAGAGTTCAAATTTTAATGAGTCCAGCTTCATGCTTGTTTTTAAATTATCAACTGTATATCGCGACCAAAATGTTTTAGCGCTCTACGGTCAACAAAGGAAACCTAAATTCCCCAAACGTGCTTGCAATAAAATAAAGGGATTTAAATATTTAAGTTTCTATTTTCTTACTGGTTCTTGACAATCAACCAATCGGAGAGAGTGGTAGATAGTAACATCTTAGTTACAGTCAGGTAAGTGGATGGCGTTATTGTAGAATACAAATTCAAATGAACAACGGTCAGTCGTGTTATAACGTGTAAAATTCGTTTTCCGACAGTATACCTGTCGTATTTATTCAGGGAACACATAAATTCACGGGAGTTTTTATTTTACGTGTTAAATTTTAATGTTTGATTGAAATATTTGAAAGAGAAAGAAATAAAAGAATGGCCGATTCGTCCGAATGGGAACCGCTTATGCAGAAGATTACTGCAAAACTAAGTAGTACATTGACTCAATTGCACGGAATATGGGAAGAAATAGGATATAATCAAGAAGTACGTTCAATATATTGCAAACAAGTATTTGATCATATAGAAGATTTATTAGGCGATATGGTTTCAGAGTCAAAGCTGAAAAAAGAAACGATATTAGTCAATGTTAAAAATTTGATGGACCAAATAGGTGTTCTAACGAAAGAATTAGCAATAAATATTACAAATGCTGGATATGAAAATCTATCATTAAAGGAAGTAGAAGAGGTGCTGCGCGCTGACCTACAAAATTTACAATATTGCAAAACACAACGTGTGACTCATTTTAAGAAATTGCTTGCAAAGGAAAAATCCCTTTGTAAGGTATTAGGCACTCAACCAATTAATATAGAAGAAAAATTGCCTTCAGAAGAAGAACTTAAGAGTTTTGAACTCTACCTTGAAAAACAAGAAGGTGAGAAATGTCGTTTAGAAACCATTTTTAACGAACAACGTAGAGCAATTGTTAGAATGATGGATGATTTAGGCACATCTCCATCGTCTAGTTTTCAACATATAGTATATGAAGATGATGAAAATTATGTCTTTAGCAATAGCAATATGAATAAATTAAGAGAACTTAGAGAAGAATTAGAACATAAAGTGAATAGTGCAAAGGAACATGTTGAAGACATTAGACAAGAATTAATTGCATTATGGAAATATCTTAACGAACCTGAACATATTTGTCAGTCATTTCTTAGCAGTTACGAAGGATATAGCGTAGCAACTATAAATGCACTAACCACAGAATTGGAGCGATGTAAAGAAAAACGGAAGCAGAACATTGCTAAATATGTGTCACAAGTGAGATCTGAGTTAGTCAAACTGTGGGATTTATGTAAATTCAGTGAACAGCAAAGAAAAGAGTTTATATATTTTTATTCCCATACATATACAGAAGATTTATTAACATTGCATGAACTGGAAGTAAAAAGGATCCAAGAGTTCTATAATTCAAATAAGTCTATATATGAACTCTTACAGGAGCGTGATGATTTGTGGACAAAAATGAAAGAATTGTTACAACGTGCAAATAATCCAGATCGTTTTTATAATCGTGGTGGTCAGCTATTAATGGAAGAAAAGGAACGTAAAACCATACAGAAAAAGCTGCCAAAAATCGAAGAGCAATTAAGGGATTTAATAAAGGAATATGAAAATATGCATGAAGAGATATTTACTATAAATGGAATGTCAGTAGAGGAACTATTGAAAGAATCATGGGAACATTTAAACGAAGAAAAGGAGTCTATAAAGAAGGCTAGAAAAGAAGGAAAAGATAAATCAGCAAAGAAAATAACACCAGTTGTTTCTAAAATTCCTTCTAAAGCTGCTTTAAGCTCATCCAAAAAAGGTATATTCAGTATTCGTCGTCATACTCCGCTTAATTACTCAAAGAGGAAACTTTTCTGTAGTCCTTCTCCAAATACCTCTGCAAAGCGTAGAAATAGGAGCATAGGAACAAGTGGATCTAAAAATAAAGGAAACAGTGCAATTTCTAAAAAAGCATCGAAATCAAAAAATAATAATAAAAACGAGAATTCCATGTTACAAAGTTCAACAGCTACTGACACAACATATAGTAAATTTGAAGAACACTTAGAGGATAAGAAAGAACTACGAAGTTCTTTATTGCCAGAAAAGGTATTAGCAAATGCAAGTAAATCTAGAAGGAGAAGATCAGTACGAACACCTGCTAAGCCACTAAGAAAAAATTTACCATTATCAAAAACACCAACAACTTCAGAATCATCGCAATTGCAATTACATAAATCACCACGTAGCCCTAGGATAGCACAATCATCGAGGCTTGTCACTATATCAACACCATTACCTATAATTTTTTGAAACAACATAAAAATGTTTTACATAGTTATATCAATATGAATTATAAGCTAAAATATTAAACATTTTGTAAATATTTCTATTTTCTTACACATTTTAGTATTAATATTTTCTATTTCATATCGTGTTATGAATATATTGTACTTCACTTTATTAATATTTATTAATTAATGTGACATAAATGTATAAATTAAATTTTCTCACAGAATTTCATTACTATTCAATAAAAAAAAATTGATAGGATATTTCATGTTATTTTCTTGTATATGTACATACATATTATTATTTTGAAACTAAACAGTCTTCCAACTGCCAGATGGCAGAGTCAACTTGATATTTTAAAAATAATTTCATAAATAAAACTTTGAGTTCACGAATCACTATATTCTAACAATAATGCTAATTCTGCATATTGCTGTTATTATTAGCGATATCACCAATGAGATTTTTTATGAAAGGAAAGCGATTATATATATCTTTTTATAAAATCGAGAGATTAAGAAACTATTTTCGCTAATGGGGATATTGAGCAAACATAGATAGATAGGAAATAATATTTGATTGTTGCGAATAAAAAGAAGATAAATTGAAGCAAAATATTACAAAATATATATTCAAGTACAGCTCCAATATTTTTAGTATTCTTGGTATTTTGAAAATATTTTTAATCAAATAAAATACATAATCTAAAAGAAAATATTCTATATACTTACTATTTGAAATAATATTTTATCCAAATACATCATTTAAATAATCGTTTTTTAAATATTCTATTTGCGGATGACCAAACCAGTTTGCTTATAGTCGTTTAAACTTCATACATATCGATTTTATAGCCTTAGTAGACATGCGTTGACATATTATCGTTGTAGAATGCTTTGTACGCAGAACTTGATGTTTTATGAGTTTCGTTTCTTACCTGAAAGAGACAACATGTGATACATTACCGAAATAAATCTTCCTTAGCAAGTATGCAACATGTTATGATCGAATCTATCGTTCCAATAAACCTGTGGCTTAGTATTTGATTTCAAATTGCATCGATTCATTTATTAGCGTAAGTAATCTCTTATCGCATTTCTTTATGTATTATTTCCTTCAAAGTAATATTTTCACAATGAGAGATTGAAAACTTGTATAATTTGTATGACACGACGATTACGGTATAAAATTATTCCCAATAATCTTTTATATATGTTTTCTTTCTACTTCATCCGATTTTTTTTTATTTCAATTACGATATTACATATATCCTATCCAGTGAATCCACGTACATACACGCGTACTTATATATATATATATATATAGTATATTGAGCAATGTCAAGGTCACGGATGTTCCACGTTTCTTTACACCGCGTATTCTTCATATTTTGCTTATGACATTATGTCCACAACTACTTGTGTCGCGAAACGATTTGCACTGTAGCTTACAAAAAAAAAGTTAAGGTAATTTGCACAAAAATACTTCAAGTGCTTCTAATGTTGCAGACGAAAACGAATGAGATGATGTGTTGCATACTATGTAAGTAAAATATTTTGTTAATAGCATATCAATAATATGTATAAATATAAGAACGAAATAGTTATATTTTATTCTACTTTGTACTTGCTTTTTACGGTATATCGTACGTTGCTCCAGGCTGATATTATAGGTATATGAAAGAAATTAATAACAAAATCATATATGAAGATGACCACCACGATAGGAGACGTACGAACTCTGCAAACTTTAACGTCACACACCAGTGACGTTACGAGTATTGATTTTGCGAGCGATTGCGTACTTGTAACTGGATCTGGGTAAGAAAGTTATCAAAGTTTAGAGATTTATATATAAATGAATTTTTTGTCAAATAAATAATTGTAGTTGTACGGGGTTGTCTCGAATTGCTTTTCTTTCTCGAATTGATTTTTGTAAAATCACATAATTTTCATTGTCAACGCTAAATCACGATATAGATTATCTTTTATAATATCGATCAATCCATCCCCTATATTGTGTTATATTACTGTTTAATATGATCGATATATACTCCTCGTTAAGTTATATATTCTATATTATATAATAAGTTAAATAAGTTATACAATAGTTCATTAAGTTGTACTTTTCGGCGCTTAAGTCCGGTTACGTAGGTATACTTATTTCCAGTTACAGTAATTAAGCTGATATGGGCTTGTATATGTTCTTTTCAGAGATAAACGTGTCAGAGTTTGGCAATGGCGATTAGGCGAAGGGTACGTAGAGGCATATTTTTCGCCGTTGCAGGGGCACAAATACGGAGTTACATCTGTCAAAGTGAGCCCACAATCGACGATGCTAGCTTCGGCTAGTATAGATGGGACAACGTTGCTATGGAATTTACGAGTAAGTTAATTACGAGTTAGTAAGATCGAAATGAAATTTGATATCATGGAAAAAAGTGGTGAATCTCAAATATGAAATCCCAGTTTTGGCAATTCATACGTCTGTAAGATACAGATTCCTATATACACGTATGTACATATGCACTAAATCTTCACGCTGCCATTAGCAATTAGTATAAAGATGTAGGAAAGAGTTATCGTGATATACTTTGCAGACAGGATCAAAAATTCATACGATGGTTCAAGTAGGCGGAGAAACTGTAAGAGTTTGCAGATTTTCGCCCGATTCAACGTTACTTGCAACTGCCGGAGATAATGGACAGGTTTGTCTTTGGGATTTGATTCGACGCAATTTAGTTAGGTGAGATTCTTTTTATTCTCCTGATACTTTCTATATATCAGAGTACTCGACGAATCGGGCAGTAACAATTCGAATCCGCATACAGATATTTTCAAAAACATGAAGGTGCTGTGCAGAGCGTATGCTTTTCACCGGATACCAGTTGGTTAGTAACTACTTGTACGTTTGGTGTCATGAAATTATTCGCCACCAGCGATATCATCGACTCGTGCTTTACCGATAATCAAGCGATTACTGCCCTCGCCTCAATAGATGATGCTCATGATTTAGGTGTCGTATCTTGCGACTTTTCAACCTGCCAAAAGATTACAGGTACATAAAAAATGATAAAACATACTATCGTCTTTCAAAAACGATCCAAGCCACGAATTCGATTGACTTCGATCACTACAAATTTTATGTTTACTGTTAAATTTACCAATATATCAACTGTTTCGTGTTTAGGTAACGAACCATTCACAAAAGTGTACCAACTAGTTACTTGCGGTAATGATCATTACGTAAAATTATGGGAGATAACTGTGATACAGTCGAAATGCGAAACATCCACCGTGAAAATAAGCCTGTGCAGAATCATGGAAAAACACAGTAGTGCCTTAACTTGTGTTTGTTTCAATGCGAACGGATTATTCATCGCTAGTAGTGGCCTCGACAAAACAGCGGTAATCTGGGAAACGGTACGAAACAAAAGAAATAACAGATAACTATCACACAATACGTACAGTCCCCCTTATCGCACAAAGTAAATGCATTACTATGATATTTACGCTGTATATATGCATCTATATGTATAGTGGTAACCATATAATTATGCTCTTTAGAACAAAAGTTGGAATAGCTTATTTGTAGATTGACCTACGTACATAATTTCTTAACTTGATTATCGTATCATTTCGTGAAACTTCTATAGACATTTACATATGCAGGGTGTTTCATTTATATTGGATTCGTTAACATTATATAAGTTATTTATACTGATTTGTGAATTAATCATATTCGAGATAAACAAAACATTCCGTATATTGACAATGCTTATGATTATTAGCTTTTTTATTTCATCCCCCGATCTTTTTATTCGGGTATTTTTCAGGATACCGGAAAAGTGATGGCGATAACAACAGGACATAACAGATATGTAGCATGCTGTGCGTTCTCGAGAGATGGAAATTTATTAGCTACAGGTTCCAACGATAAATCCGTAATTGTTTGGGATCTTAAAGGAAACTTATGCTTCGACTCGGAACTCGCACGACGATTTACACCTGCCTTATTTTTAGATAATCACGAAGAGGTGAGATATAAATATATGTAATGAATACGAGCAATAAACGAAGCTCTAGATCTTCTTTATGATTCCCAATAAATCTCTAATTTTTTGTTACGGACATGGAAAGTTGCAAACTTTAACCACTGATCGATTTTACGGTCGCATTATATCGCTTCTATTACACCAATTACCATATCTACTAGGCTAACTATACCCTTCCATCATTTGAATCGTATACGTAAATAATTACACATCTATAGAGTTTGGTAAAATGAAACTTCCTCGCCTTACCTCTAGAGCGTCGAATATGAACAAACTGTAATGAAAAACGCGGAAACATCTGTTAATGACGTTCAACTAATTCAAAGATTAGAAGAGCACGGTGGAGTAATAAACAGCGTAGCTTTTTACGGAAATCATCTTATCGCTTCTGGATCTGGGTTAGTCATATCTAACATAGTTAAATAATTCAGTATACAAGATATCATTTTTTTAATATTTTATTTAAATAATGCCAAAATTGTAAGATATTACTAGATTAGAAATATACAGGGTGTATTACGCAACCGGACTAAACTGCAACTCTAAGACGGTAGAAGATATGAATGACAAAAATGTCATTCGGCAAAACAAAATGATTTACAACGATGCATATTGTTTGGTCCAGTTGTGTAGAATATTCTGTATTGCGTTATTTCTTTCACTGCTTAATCGTGATAAATACTCAGGGACAAGTTAATACGAGTTTGGAGCATTGAGACCGAAGAAGAAGCCAATGCCGAAATTATTACGAAATTTCAAGAGAAATCTTATAGCCCGTTGGATGGTCATAAATATAGTATAAACCATGTGGAATTTAGCCCTTGTGGTCGTATGCTTGCCTCCTGCTCCTTAGATGGAACTGTTATCATCTGGGATACCGAGGTATTAACCAATAGCACGATTATAAAACGTGAGAGATTATCAACGTTTTGATAGTTATATAGCAAAAAAGCCTCGCATATAACAGGCGTTCGTTAAACTGCAAATTAACATATTATCATTACATATTATCGATTCTCATTAATTTTACGTAGAACGGTTCTCAAGCAAAATCTTCCTTCGTGAATTCGGGATCCGGTATCCGTGTTTGTCGATGGTCACCGGATGGTACTAAAATTGCTACAGCTGGAGACGATGAAAGGACTACATTATGGGATGTGAATAATATGGAGGAACTTTGGTACATGCTTCAAACTTTTTATATATGTATTTAAATCGAATCTCGATTTCAATTGGTTTGTTATTCTTTATATGCATATAATGTCGTACATATAATATGTATAAGATTACAGGGTGGCCTCCTTCGAACTATTCAACATTCATCTGAATCAATTTTCGCAAAAAGTTAGTATTTAATTATTCGAGTTATTATCCAAGCGAGTCCAACTATGTGCATCACCCTGTATATACGTACAAATACACGTATATGTATGTAAAATAGTGTATATGTAATATATATGTATTGTATATATTATATATTATATAAAAGTATTTAAAAGATTACACAAAAGTGTATATAATATAATGAATCTATGAAAATATTGTTTTTACTTTATATAAATTGCAAAATATTGTTAAGTTGTTGCAAACGTATGTCACAGCATTTTCAGTGGTCATGCCGATGCAATAAACGCGATTGCCTTTACACATGACTCTTGTTACTTGATTACGGCATGCAACGAAGGTACTTGGAGGCTGTTTCAAATCAGTGATAACAAAAATTGTGAAGCGTTGATTATTTGTGGCGAAGCTCATGACTTAGGCGTCCAAGGGTGTGATTTTTGTCCAACATCTAATTTTATAACTAATGGTAAGCATGAATAGTAAAATAATAGAGTAGAATCCTGTTCATGAATTACTGTTAGTAAGTATAGTAAGTATGTGACTATGTATATGACTATTCTGCTATGTTGTATTACAGGAAGAAGTGAGAATATAATTACCAACAAAAATTCTTATCTGTTAGCAACTGGTGGCAATGATTCCTTGGTTAAGTTATGGCAAATAACAATTGACAAAGTTAACGTAATCTCATCAGGTAGTAGTGGAAGCAGTAGCGGTGATGTACGATATAAAGAAAGAAGATCTTTCGCCGGACATGGTGGCAATGTGACTTGTGTTCGATTTCCTCCGATTCAAAGCGAAATCTTAGGAAGCGTGGCTACTGATAGAACGGCGCGTATATGGAATGTAGTGAGTAAACATCCTATCCTCTCCTTTCTCTTCACGAAAAACAGACTTTTCGCTAAATGGTAATATGTTGGGCTAACTTTCTACCTAATCAATATCAATAATAATCAAAAAAGTTTATTAAAAATTAATTTACGCAATAATTTATAACACGAAGTAACGAAAAATGTGGTTTTAGTACTCTGGGACGTGTTTATACGTGCTAGAAGAGCATGAAAGTCTTGTAACTGCCTGCGCTTTTTCGCAAGACACTTCTCTTTTTATTACAGGTTTTGATCAATTAATATATTATATTATCCAATGCATATTTTCTTGATTGATTCTTTACTACATTAACAATTATTTTGAATCATTCGTAGGTGCTCTAGATAAAACTGTCTTAATCTGGAAAATACCTCAACAGTTGATTTCGCAAAATATATTAATAAATAACTTAAAAAATAACAGAAAAAGGGTATGATTTTAAAACATGATGATATAATATTTCGTGTGATCGCATCAGTTATAGGTACGCTTAATTTTTAACATAAAAGGTTGCGGACTGGAAAATCGATGATACGTTGAGATGGTTGGACGAAATAGGCTTATCGATATTAATTAAGAAAGCTAATACGATTTCTTTAACGGGACGACATTTACTTTCCCTATCGGAGAATGAATTAACAAACAGACTGGATATAGAACAAGATGAAGAGGTATATCGTCAAAGAACCACAAATAATAGAAGTTATTTTTTTAACTAACTCGTTTTCTACTGTGCTTGTTTCGTAATCATTTACAAAGAAGTACACTTTACCGATTTGCAATTGATTTTAGACAGCGGAAGCATTTAAAACACAACTGTACTGGTTAAAACGTGAAGACAATAATTCTTCAGAAATCCCTATAGACGATAGCGAAATATCTCACGAATTTTTATGCCCTATCACGCATGAAATAATGAAAGAACCTGTCCAATGTTCTGGTAAACAATAGAAACAGGGATCATAATAAAAAGTATTTGATATTCTAATAAGTATCTTATTTTCAGATGGATTTACATATGAAAAAGCTGCTATAAATGAATGGTTTTTATGTGGGAAATATACAAGTCCAATGACGAACAAACCTCTTCGAGATACTTCATTTACCCCAAATGTTATACTCAGGAATGCGATATACACTTTTCTTCATGGAAATCGACCAACTGATGACAATTAAGCGTTGCATCTAATGGTGTGTAAACTAGGATATAAAATGTAACTTCAAAGAAGCTTTTTTCTTTTTTCTTTTTATATATCTACATACTATATTATACATCCACCTGACACGAATTTTTCTTACACTTGAGGTTATGCACTCTCATGAACGGGTATATGAAGTTTTAAAAGGAACAAATAATAAATACGCACAAAAAGTTGTTAACAGACTAATCAACAAAATCGATATAACATAGCAAATATGTACGTACATTTGTGAGAATTTTGTAAACATCTGCTAATAAATATATTAATTATATAAACACACTGTTCTTTTTTTAAATAGAAATTATATCTGTCTTTATTAGAAATTGTTATCGATATTTTTACCTTATTATACTTTGTATCATACCGCCAAGTCTATTCTATACTTCATCTGTGTGTAAGGCCAAGGTCTATTGATGATAGAAGACATGTAGTATATACCAGAGATATATGCATATGTACTTATTTACACAAAGTAAAAACGTAGCGACCTCTTGAAAAAAAAAGCAAAACTATGTATGCTTAGATACAATATGATTCATTGTACATATATGTACTAAGGTTAGAAATCACAATCTATAATATAAGAATAGAATATTCAGTATTAGAATCTTATATTCCTGAAGACCAATACTATAAAAATGAATAAACCATTAAGCAAACTATTGATAATTTTTCAATTGAGGTTACTCATTATTATATGACTATCACAGTCACAATTTCCATGTAGAACAATTTAATTCTTTGAATTTCATTTCCGTTTCCTTATTTTATTTTAACCATTATATTTACTAAACATTCGATCGAGTTGTAAATGTCAGAAATTTTTACACAATTTTCAAAAAATCCAGCTTCGGTGTTGATTAATTTTATCGTTTTATATGCGTCACATTCCAATAAAACCGATGACTACATAAATTCTCTGAATACTACTGGCTTGAAAAACTTGGTACGATCGAGGCGCTCGTTGTCCAACGTACATATATACACGTTCGCGGTAAAAAGATACGTACTGTGTGTGTCACTAACGATAGTCAAGCAAAATGGTTTGTATTTTTATGCACTGTCTTTTATTTGTTTTGTAATATTTTGTTGAAATACATATAAATATGTTCAAACAGATGTGTCAGTGAGAAAAAGATATACTTATATATTATACATATTTTTAGGCATCTTACTCGGAGGATCAGTTAGCAGGTACGTAAATGCGAATGAGATCATTGACACCAAGCAGAATAAAATTAAAGAAGGGCGGACAGATGGTTCTCGATGTTCAATTTAGGTCAAGAATATCCTTTACCTTATTAGACTCACCCTGGTGACATCGAATTACGTGTCGGTGATTTCCTTTTATGGTTAGGTATCTGAAAGAAATAGCAGCAGAAAAGAAGAAACGAAGACAGAACACGAATAGCATTGCGTCGTAACAACCGTGGAACCTTTATATTCGGTTTTAACTCGTTTCTGAATGTAGTTTTGTTGGTATATTTGTGATAGGCAATATATGTACATATATATATATATATATATATATA